AGTACTAGGTATGGCATGGTGGTGCTGATGTATTTCATGAGATCACATAATTGTAACAGTGCTATGTTTTTACTGAGTTCCATCAGGATACTAGTAAGCCGGACTGAGTGGTAAAAAGCATTAAATTAAAGAAACATAAAAACAGTTGACTTATTGCCTGTCAAGACCACAACACTTATTGACTAATACATGTATTGATTACTTAAAATTTCTGATGGCTAAACGGGCTTCGACTTACGTACAAAATAACTGTTCATAAACCATGCTTGATTCCTTTTATTAACTTAGAATGAAAATATCCATATACTGCTTTCTTTTACCTAAGTTTCTCACTTTCTTAATTTCCCCCCAGTCACTTCTCTATTATTTAAGGTGAAAAAAAAAAAATCAAACAATTTTCAAAGAAAACTTTTAAGTAAAATTTGTTGTTCGTAACATGGCATATGGTAAACCAGGGACTGTTTATTCTCTGTTTAGGAACTTAGACGTCCCATCCTTCACTTCTAAGATTTAAAAAACCAAGAGAACATTTCCTGATGTTATAAATGAAAAATTGTATTGGTGTCTGTGAAGCCAATCAGAAAATTAGAATAAGTATGAAAAGGCTAAGTATTTTTAAATTTGCCACTAGATAAATTATTTCTTGCTATAAGATAACTCTAATGGTACTATATTTAGATATCTATGGGAAATTAAATATGTATCTAAAAGTTCAGCAAATCCTAAAATTATTTAAAAATGGCCTATAACTTTCAAAACACATGAATCTTTAATTGGTATGTTTCTGAAACATTCATACTAGCACTTGTTCAGGTTATCCTTTGAAATTTCAGTAATCATAGCAAAATAAAATGTGAATAATATAGTCAACTAAAATGCAAATAACTGTATGCATGTATTCATACATATTTATGTTCTAAAGGTTGAGATTCCCCCATAATGTTATCAGAATTAAGAACTAATCATTCCTGGCATATATGTCTTTGAACACAGCTATTAAGCAATTCTCACTCACTGTAGGCTTTCCAAATTGCCATTATCTCTGATGTTACAAAAGGGGGTATACCTGAAAAAAACAACTAAACCTCAGGCAAAAACCCTACTCCTCCTCTAATGGTATGGCACATACCAGTGACACAGAAGTGTTGCCAATGTCTAGTTACTATATATTCAGATGCAGAGCAGCACATCTGAGTTTTGAATACTTGCAAAATAGTACACAAGGCTGCATATTACCAAGCTATCTGGATAAAAGAAATATAAAGTATTTAAGTCTCTTTATTATATCTAAAAATATGTATTTTTAAAAACAAGTAGAAAGAGACATGGCAGGAAATGATAAAAAGCACAGATAACCCAGCAATCAAATAATGAGCTCATAGTCAGAAATTTTTGTTAAGTTTCCCACTGTTTCTCCGGAACTAGTATTATGGTCAGTATTCTAAATTACAGGAATGGTTTAATTTATGAATTTATGTGATATTATGACCTTATTCTAGACTACAGCTCTCCCAGGCAGTATTCACTTAAATTTTGACTACACTGGTCACTATAACAACAAAAGTTCTAGGTATTTTATTTGTAACATCTAATACTATATATAAACTCTAGACATACTCTTCAATGATACTTTAGCATTATGTATTTATTTGAAAGTGTTTAATTCATGATGTAAATGATGGAATTAAGGCAAAAATCAGGGTCTTTAATACATTATGAAAGTTATTTTATAAAACAATAATGGTAGCATTTTAGAGTTTAAAAGGAAAAAATATGCTAACCTAAAAGTAGTCTTGGATTTTACTCAAGAGATTTAATTTGCCAGATATTTATAAATTTATTCCTATTAATTTCCCAGAAAATTTCTATAAAGTCAAGGAAAACATATCATTTATAGTTTCTCAAACATAAAAGAACAAAGAAAAGCACGTTTCTGACAAATAGCATTTGTTTGTCCAGTTCAGTAATGCCATACATTACAAATGAACTTGATTTGTATATTTTACTTAAATAATCACAGATTGATTTTTTTGTTATTTTTTTATTGCACAGATTTTAAACTACATTAATAAACCCTATTTTCTTCTAGCAAAAATGCATTTTTGGAAAAAAACATGAGCTGACTACTTTTTCCTAGATGCATGGTGAAGGAGGTCAAAATCGAGTCCTTGACATTACATTTAAGGTGGACCAAATTAAGATTCCCTCAGTATTGATTTCGCCTTGACAAAATTTAAAATGTGTAAACTGCCACTCAAAACAGAAGTGCAATACCTGACATTTAATCATCGGGCAGTCTTTCAGCATAGGTGAATTATTGCACTGTTATTTGAACTGAAGCATCTCACAATGTACATATAACAAATTTTGTATGATACAAAACTTTACAGCAAGCTGTTTGAATGTTTATTAAAAAATTCTCAAAATGACATAGAAACATGTTTACTGTGTAAATAAAAGCACTTATACATTACAAGTGTACATTATTCAATAAATTACACTGTAAGAAAACTGGGGAATGAATTAACCAACACAAACTACCACACTATATTCATATTGCAGTCATAGTCATCAAAAAACTATTCAATCTTTACAAATGTATGTTTACATCAATTTTAAAGCATCAAAAAGACAAACTGTGCTTCAGTATAAAAATTTGGCAAAATATTCTCTATGCCTAATTAACGTAAACAAAGAACTACCTGATAATTAAGTTGGTTTAGCAAGGAATGCTAGTTTTGCTAGGAAAAGGGATTTTGTGGTCAAAAAGTTTGGAGAAAACTGTGTGAAATAAAATTAAACATGATTTTATGAACCCTGGGCCTTCACATACTAACACACATCAAGGTCACTGAAGAAGTTGAAAAGTTCTAAATATGTTTGGCCATGGAACTCCCCTCTTAATAGGCCTCCTATATAGGAACATCTTCACAAAAGAACGATTTAGAGAAGTATGAGAAGAACTCTAATACAAAATGTCATCTGGTAGAAACATATGAATAATATTATTTGTAATTTTTAGAAGTTTTACCTCAACTGCAAGCCTGTAAGGGACATTATCATAATTGAGCTCAGAGTAGTTCAGTTGCTTGATCACCTGAAATCTGAATGTTACGATTCCAAGTTGCTGAGCCACATTATCACCATTATTTGACAAGAATGACATTGTGTTTGCATCTGCTTTTTCCTATACCACTTCTAATTATAGAATTCTTTTTTTTTAAACAGCTCAGTTAATGTTTTCTCAAACTATCAAAATATTTATTCATGAAAAAAAATCCAGCTAGAGGACAAAATATTATTTATTCACACATTCTTATAAAACTGACCAAGTGAATTTGTTAGGAAGTTATTTAAAATTATCAATGTCAAAATGAATGTACATTACTTTCTTTTTAGGAATTTTTGAAATGAAAGCTGATTTAAAATTCTATAAGTTTATAAAATGCTTTCTTCAAGATACTGCCATCTGTCCTCCATCAAGAAATATGGGATTTTACACCGTAGTCCCAGCTACTTAGGAGGCTGAGGCAAGAGAATCACTTAAGCCCAAAGAGTTTGAGGTTGCTGTAAGCTGTGACACAACAGCACTCCACTGAGGCCACAAAGTGAGACTCTGTCTCAAAAAAAAAAAAAAAAAAAAAAAAAAAAAA